CGGCCACCCGTGGCTGGCTGCTCCACCCGGGGCGTTCCTCGCTTGGGTTTTCTATGGCAACTACACAGAGAACTCTTGCCACACCTGCTCCTCCCTTTAGGAAAGAACCCCGCCCAGCTCAGAGCCCTAGGCGCAGCCTTCATGCGATGCTGTGCTAACTCTGGGTGCTGTGTCCCTCTACTTCAGTCAACTGGCCTAGACCCTTGAAGGTCATTCAGCAAGTCGCCCTATTATGAGTCTGGGCCTGTCCAGGCCCCTTGGCTCCTGAGCGTAGCTTGAAACATAGATATGCAGGTGAAAGCCAGGGCTGTTTACGGGGACCCCTGAGCTGATTGAAGATCCTTTCCAACCACAGCTGCATTTCCTGGGCAACCATAGCTTTGGTCCATTCCTGTGGGCTCCTGAGACACCTAAATTTGTCCCAGCTCACTGAATTGTTTCTCCGGTCCCTGCCCAGCTCAGATGACCTAAGCAAGAGCCCAGATGCTACTGTGGGGATGGGAAACTGAGCCAATCAGGAGACCCTGTTTGCTGAGGGACCTGATGAAGGAAAGGGTGCCCGTGGACAGACCCAGCCTTTCTGGGTTTTGTGAGTTTTGATTCACCTCCAGGTTGGAGAGAATCGCTGACATCCTCTCATAATGGAACACTGGAATCTGGCTTGGATGGTCACCTACTCATTGTAATTATTATGTTGAGTTGGTGATATATTTACTTGGTTCAAAAGGCAAAATTATACAAAAGATATACAGTGAAAAATCTCACTCTTTTCCCTGCCCCCATTGACCCACTTCTCCGCCACCTACAAATTCACACACAGGTAACCACTGCCACTTTTGTTTCTTGTGTACCCTTACAGAATTTTTTATACTAATTAAAAAAATGTATTCCTTGTTCACCCCACCCTTTTTGTGATCAAGTTGTCATGCGATCAGTCATACTGCTCTGCACCTTGCTCTTGGAGGCCTTTCCATTATTAGTGTCTAGAGGGCATCCTCCTTTTTCGGAGTTGTATAACGTTCTCCTCTGTGAATATACCCTGTTTATTTCACTGTTTTTTATTGATACATACGTGGATAGTTTTTATCCTCTTGCTGTTTAACTAAGTAACCTGGCAGTTATATCTGCAGACTAGATTCTTTAAAGAGGGGTTACTGGGTCAGAAGTTACCTGCAATGTTGGCAGTGCCGCCTGGCCCGCATAGGAGTGGTACCAATCAACCCTCCCTCCAGCAAGGTATGAAAAGATTCAGGAACTTCTACTACCGATGCCTCTTCCATTCCAAATTGGGCTCCTTGGAATGATTAAATCAGGAAGTAAGCGGTTTGTAGGAGGGGACCCTATCAGATGTCATTAGTACTTGTGGTCTCCACCCATTTAGCATTTGTTAACCCTATAACTTCATAGACTTTAGGGACACGTCAGAGGCCAGTGAGGGAGAGTTGCAGGGCTAGTCTGGGCCTGTAGCTCCTAGCCTTTCTCTGGGAAGATGGTACCAGACCTTTTTAGGGGAAGGAAGATGTCCATAGTGAGGTGCTAGAGCTAAAATTAGTTCCACTCCGCCCTGGCCGGTGTGGCTCCGTTGAATGTCATCCATGCACCAAAAGGTTGCAGGTTCAAATCCTGGTAGGAGACATGCAGGAGGCAGCCAATCAATGTTTCTCTTTCTCTCTTCCTCTCAAAAAAAAAAAAATCATCAATAAAAATATTTTAAAAAATAAAATTAGTTCCACTTCTGTCCTGAGTTTCGGTTTCTTGGGCCTTGCTATCAGAGGGACAGATGATATGTAGAGAGGGTACCCTGGGCTCATCTGCACCATAACTCAGAAGGCCAGGGCGGGGAGATAAAAAGGATGATGCTTGAGTCATGTCTCTGTTTCTATTTTGATTCATTCGCCCAAACCTTTCACCCAACTAATGACTGAAAACTGTGGGTTTTTATTAGTGTGTGTTTTTCCCACATGAAATGAGCTGAATGATGTCAGGGCTGTCTCACCCCTGTTCCGGTGCATCCAGAGTGGCTGTAGGTGGTTCCTGGACACACTGGAACAGGGGGTCCTGAAGCCTTTATGCCTCTGTGACCAGGGCCCAGACAGCTCCGTTAGAGGGGGATGGGCCTGCTGACTGGTGCGTTAGCTGTGATGGGTGTCTCCTGCCAGGCCCTCCACCCTGGGCGTGAGTCATGGTGGCCATCTGGGGCAGGAGGAGGAGTAAGGCACCCAGTTCTTACTGCTGGTGCTCTGGGCCAAGGAGGGGAGAAGGGGCACAGGCCTCTGTGTAGACTTCTCCCTGGGGAGCAAGGACCGCCGGAGAGTTGGACATGGTTGCTGATGGGTCTGGAATGGCAGCTCTGAGTGTGGCAGTCACTACATATTAAAAGAGAGAGAGTGTGTCTTTATATTTGCATCTCTGAGTTTGGAATGTCTGTTTCTGCTCAACTTAAAAACCTTAGAGCAAGGGTCTTAAACGTTTGGGTGTCAAGTACCCCTTTTAGAAGCTAAAAGCCACAGATCCTCATCCAAAATAAAAGCACTCTCTGTAACAATGTTGGAGCAATTTCAGGGCGTCACTGGAGCCCCAGAAGCCCACCCCCTAACCCTCTTAGGATAGTAATTCTCACTTATTAGTGTTGTTATTATTCCTATGATTATGTTATTATTTTGCCTACATACTGCACACAGTAACATTTTTCATTGCACGCGCTGATTCTCTGTGGAGGGGTGAGAGGGATTTCTCCTTCCCCAGACATGGCCTGGGCGCTTTTCCTGGGTTTCACAGAAGGAAATTAGGAGCTGTAGGCTGAGAAGGGGGGACTGGGCATGACATTTGGGCTTATCAGTATTTCCCTACTTGGAGTGATTGCAGAGGAATGCCTTCGCTTACTCCAGAGAACCCTAATGCCCGTGTTCAGAGGCTGCCTAGGAAGATGGGGGAGGCCAAGGAGGATGGGTGTGCCACTGCCTGCCATTCCCAGGCTCCCAGCGTGGCTGCATTCTCTCTCCTGGGGAAAGTGGGAAGGTTAATGACTGATTATCCCAGCCATTAGTCACATCACCAAGGCACTTGATTCCCTGCAGGATCAGTGCCACCTGCTGCCACTCTCCCTCTTCAGTGCTCTGGGTGAGGAGTGCGAGCCTAAGGAAATAGTCACCACCTCCTATAGGTGTGGACTTGTTGCTGCACCAGCCCCAGGGCCACGAGACGAGATGGGACAGAGCGGGGTCTCTCCCCTGTACACCCAGGGCCACACGAGACCTCAGGGACAAGGGGACCAGCTATGGAAAAGAATATGTGGACACTTACGCGGAGATTCCACCACATGCCCGTACACACATCAGATGTGTAGCTATGTCTGTCTGCATGCACATGTGAACATAGATGTAGGAACATGTGTGAAGGAGAGGCCACGCCTGGTAAAATCAGTCCTCCGAGGCCCGGGCAGGGAGGAGCTCTAGCAGGAAGCACTCAGGAGAGGGAGGGGTCCTGCCTCTTTCCCCACCCCTGGGGCGCTCTCACTGAGCTGTCTGGCCTCGGGGATTCTCCACCTTTTTTATGGTCCTCACAGCCCCAGGACAAGAGGGCCAAACAAAGCTCATTTTTATAGGACAGCAGTGACTGCCTGTCAGTTATTACAGTGAAGGCAGAAATCAGGTGAGAACCTCTGTTTTCAGCAATTATGTCCTCAGTCTGGGTTTCTAACACTAGTCACAATAAATGATGGGCTTCATTTCCCCTGTTCTCTAAGAGGACAGCATCCTCACCCACCTCTGGGCAGGCTGTGATCCTGCCTCCCGCGCATCCTCTCCTCTCCTGGCCAGGGAGAGGTCTCGCCAAGTCCCAGTCCTGACAGTGAGCTGCAGAACAGGGTCTCGACAACAAGGGGGAGGAGTCAGGAACCGACAGGGACCAAGTGCCCCCTGCGTGCAAGACCTTGTGCAAGAGATTGTACATACTTCATCTCGTGTAACATTTCATACCAGTCCTTGGAAGTATTCCTCATTCCACAGATGCTAAAACAGAGGTTCAGAGCCGAAGTCACTTACACAGGTTTCCCGGAGATGGGATGAGTGGCCCCACCAGTTTCAGACGCTGTTAGCCCGCCGCCCTGCCTCCAGCATGGCACTGTTTTCCATCCTTGTGAAGGGAGCACCTTCTCCCACCTGTGCCTTCCTGCCCTCTGAACACACCTGGAGAAGGTGAAGGAGCTCAGGCCACTGTGTTTCTGTGATCAGATCCCTTCCCCTTTGAGGGCTTTTCCCTCCTGGCTTGTAAAACAATTAGCTTGGCCTCAGTAACGGCCAAGTCCCCTCTTCCCCCGAATATACACACTCATATTTTTAGATTCTATTCATGGCCAGGAGAACTCCCCACTCCCCCACCCAACGCTCCTTTCCTTCCTGTGGAGTCTGTCTGCAGTCAGCAGTATCCAGATGGAGGGAGGAAGTCTGCCCCCTAAAACATGAATGAATGAAGGGAAGCCCTCCCTGCATGGGAAATAGAAATCTCTCACTCTTGGCTGCGGGGCTCATCAATAATTCAGGGGCTGCTGTCGGATCTGATCTCTGCAATGGCTTCGTCAATATTTCAGCTCCTTCTCCAGAACCCGTTTCTTAGCAACCACAGCATCCATGCTTTCCAGGAGGGCTGTGTGCTGGGTGCTCCCTGCATGTCCAGTCCTGTAAGTGGGCAGGGGTGGAGCTACCCGTGCCAACTGGAACTGGCAACTTTGGTCCTCACAGCCCCAGGGTGATGCTGCACACAGGAGGCATGTACACACCAAGTGAGTGAGAGGAACGGCCTGGCATGGGGCCCTTAGGGCAGGAGCAGGTGGACAGGGAGGGGAATTTTGGAAGGAGGTCAGTGTATCTTCCTGGCCTGCCTAAAACTGACACCCCATGCCCTGGTCCTAGGTCAGCCTGCCCTCTCTTGGTGTGGGGAAGGGAGTGTTCTCTTCTCTCCCTCTCACCCAGTCTCAGATGCTTGTTTCCTTTGTGGCCTAGGTGCGGTGGAGGCTTGCCTCCTGCATCAGCTGAGACGCCGTGCCGCCGGCTTCCTGCGCAGTGACAAGGTGGCGGCTCTGTTCACCAAGGTGGGGAAGACGTGCCCAGTGGCTGGGGAGATTTGCCACAAGGTCCAGGAGCTGCAGCAACAAGTAGAGGGCAGGTGAGCCCTGGGCCTGCCTCTCCCCGCTCCCTCTGCTCTTACCATTTGGTATTTGCTACTTCCCAGGTTGGCTTCCTGGGCTCATTTCTTGCAGGGCCTCTCAGAACCAGCCTAAGGGTGGGCCTTGGCCACTTTCAGGCACAAGGCCTTCAACACCTCCACCTAGTCAGTTCTCCGGGTTCTCATCTCTTGGCACCAAACTGCCCTCCCAGCGCCACCAGTCTGGGGCTCAGCCCTGGGCTCTGGCATTCTTAAAGCCCACCCCTCTTTGCAGGAAGCCCTTGGTGGGTAACCAGGAGCCCCTGCGGAGACAGGGCTCTACCGGTGGGAAGACCCCATCCCTCAGCCCGCAGGCCTTGAAACACATATGGGTCCGCACAGCGCTCATCGAGAAGGTGCTGGACAGGGTCGTGCAGTACCTGGTGGAGAACTGCAGGTGAATGCCCCTCCCTGGGGCCCAGCTCCTGAACATCCCTTCAGCATCCCCGCCTCCGCAGGCTTGGCTGTCCACCTTGGCCTGTGAGCATGCCCCATCTCCCCCGTAGCACCTCGAAAGCATGGGCTACACCACACACCTCACAAAGCTCAGTTCTTGTTTGTTTTTTATTGTTCTTTGCTTTTCTTTCTTTTTAAAAAAATTCTTTATTGTTGAAAGTATTACATGTGTCTCCTTTTCCCCCATTGATCTCTCCCAGCCTGCTCCTGCCCCCGTCCCCCTGCCCCCCCCAGCAGGGGCCCTCACCCCCCTACTGTCTGTGTCCATGGG